CCTACAGCTGACCGTGAACCAGGCTAAGGAGTACTGGGAACAAATGCCTCCTGGGCCACTTGGAGGCTATCAACAGCACCCCGTAGTGGCCCAGGGCAACCTGGTTGAGTAACAGAGGGATCAGAGGGAACGGCGGAAAAGCGGAAAACAATCCTTCCGGCCATTCTTGAGACAGTGCATCCAAACCCAGGGGAACTCCCTGACCTTCCAGGGAGAACCACATCCTGCAGTGGGTTGTCTCCGCCGATGCAGAGAGGTCAGTCTGCTGTATCGGGTCCCTAGGAGGGCTACCACCTCCAGGTGGATCCTCCACTCTCCCGGGGGAGGACCAGTCCTGGACAGGAGGGAGGAGGAGAGCCTTCAATGCAAGGTGTACTGCCTTCAATTCCAGAACGTTGATGTGCTCGCCACCCCAGGGTGGCATCCACAGCCCGTGCACCATCCTGCCTTCCCAGACTGATGGCATGGTCCCAAGGGGAACCCCCTGGAGCAGAAGCCCCCTGTTCCTCCACGGGCGTAACGCCTGGAGACATGTACGTGTCACCCAAGTTTCACCTGCCTGTGCAACTTTGGGTGGAGTTTGAAGGCATTCAGCCACCTCTGCAGTGGCCAAGCTCTGAGGAGGCCCAAAGGAACAACAGCCACCGCGGCCGAAATAATCCCCAGCAGCCTCTGAAAATGAACCAATGCTAGCCTCCTGCCAAGACAGAACCGATCCAGGAGGGCCAGAATTTTCATCACCCTCTGAGGGGTGAGGGATGCCATCATTGTGAGGGAGTTCAGACAAAGACCCACAAAAACTGCCTGCTGCCGCGGTTCAAGGTTGCTTTTCTTCACATTTACCTTGAAACCCCAAGGACTGCACATGTGAGATCACTCTGTGTGTCTTCTATGATTTGGCTGCGGGATGGAGCACAAATCAGCCAATCGTCCAAGTAGGGAAGGATCTTGATCCCCGACAACTGGAGAGGAGACAAGGCAGCCCCCACCACCCTGGTAAACACCCAAGGTGAGAGGGAAATCACCCAATTGTCCAAGTAGGGAAGGATCTTGATCTCCGACAGCTGGAGAGGAGGCAAGGCAGCCCCCACCACCCTGGTAAACACCCAAGGTGAGAGGGAAAGGCCAAATGGCAGGACCCTGAACTGATAAGCTTGGCCTTGGAAGGCAAAATGAAAAAATGGTCTGTGATCTGGATAGATGGGTACGTGGAAGTACAGTGGTGGAAAAAAGTTTTCAGACACCCTTAAAATTTTACACAATCTCAAATATTATCATGAAATATTTGTGGAAAAATCTTTTTTGTGTTTCAAAAGGTGTGGCTGCATTAGACAGATACAAACAAATACAAATTATATTTTTTTGTTTGTTGTTTACAAGAAAAACTAACAAAACTAAATTCTTGACAGTTTCAATATGTCAGTTCTCAACATTGTCGGTATCAAAGTCAACAGATAACAGAGAATGTGTTCAAAACTGAACAAAAAATAAATAAACCATCACATCATCAAATTAATATTTAGTAGTCCTGCCATTGGCATGTAGTAGAGCTCTAATCTTGGCTGGCATGTTCCCCACGAGCCTTTCACACTGTTGAGGGGTAATCTTGTCCCATTCTTCTTGAATTACTGCTTTTAATTCTTCTAAATTCTTTGGTTTATGCTTTGAAACAGACCTTTTGATAATCCACCACAGATTTTCAATGGGGCTCATGTCCGGGGATTGAGCTGGCCACTCTAAGACCTGGATACTGTGCTCCTGCAGCCAAGTTCTACTGGCCTTGGATGTGTGGCAAGGGGCATTATCTTGTTGAAACATCCAGTTTTTACCTCGACGGAACAGTGCACGCGCAGAAGGGAGCATGTGGGTTTCAAGAATGGTACAATACTTGGTAGAGTTCAATGTGCCATCACAGACAGTGAGATGACCAACACCAGCAGCACTCATGCATCCCCAAACCATGATACTGCCTCCACCATGCTTGACAGTAGGTACTGTACATGCTGGAGATAATGCTTTGCCTGGCCTTCTGCGTACCCTCACATTAGTAGGAGGAAGATAAAGCTGGAAACTGGACCCATCTGACCACAAAATCTTCTTCCAATTCCTGGCTGTCCAGTTCTTGTGTGCCTGGGCCCAACGACGCCGGGCTAACCTCTGTCTCTCATTGATCAGGGGCTTCTTGATAGCCTTGTAGGACCTTAAGCCATGATCTAAAAGTCGGCCACGTACAGTGCGGGTGGAACACTGGACACCAGTTTGGTTTGACCACTGCTGCTGAAGCTCCTGTGATGTCATTCGGCGGTTTTGCCTGCACATGCGGATCAGGATGCGGTCATTTCTTGCTGAAGAAACCCTTGGACGCCCAGATCTTGGTTTGTCTTCCAAGCTGTTTGTTCATCTGTATTTCTGCAGAGTGTATCCAACTGCTGAAGGACTGCATCTGCACTTCCTGGCTATCTGGCGGCAGCTGTACCCTTCCTGGCTGAGAATCTTTATCTTCAGGCGTGTTTCCTGCGTTAGGTTCCTTGTTTTAGCCATTTTTGTGTCTGAAGAACTTTCAAATGTGCTGGCTTTATGTAGACACAAAGCTTGGCAACAAAAATTGTGTCTTTTAATAGAAAGAACGACCTTCATCACTGGTACCAAAATGACCCAATACTCAAAATTTCTTATGTATTTTTATGGAACCAATCAATTTTAAGTTTTTAATGGCTTTTTTAGGATTTATTTAGTATTTTGGCTGTGACTGTACTAAAATAAATTGCACTTGAAGACCTAAGAGTGATTCTTAATGCAATATTTCACAAATGCATGGGGTGTCCGAAAACTTTTTTCCACCACTGTAGGTCTCCTTCAGATCCACTGAGGTGAACCAAGATTTCCTCTTCCAACACCTGTGCCTGGGTCGGGTCCCTGACAACGGTCATGCGAAACCCGTAAAAAGCTGCCGAAACTGAATTCTGTACCCCTTTGATACAATAGTCAGTACCCATGGGTCTGACACTGTTTCTTCCCAGCTTTCCAGGCATAGCTGGGAACAAGTTTCGGTGGCTGACCCCCACACATCCCTAGGCAACACCCCCCTGAGATCCTGGACCTTTGGAGGGGGCGCTTCCTGTGGGGTACATCCCTAGCTGAGGAGTGAGGCTGGGACCCTTGCCAGCGCTGCGAAGGTTGCCTGGAACCACCAGAGGCCGAGAACCCCGACTCCTGTCTCCTGCCATAAGCCCATGGCTCCTGGCGAGTCCAGCATGACTGCGGGGCAGGCTGGGAGCCCCTAGGTTTCCACCTGGCAGCTGCAGCCCTGCTGAATATGCGCCGAACAGAATCTCTTGTACGTCGAGATTGTTCAGCTTTATCCAGTGCACCCTGAGAGTCAGGGTGAAACACATGTGCTGGCGCAATCGGCATATTGGTCAGCTCCTTCCGAATATTTTCAGGCAGAGATGTCTGCGCTAACCAAATCTGCCTCCGTGACATCATGTCAGTCAACTCTGGACTCTTTTAAATCTCAGCTAAAGAGGCACCTTTTCCTGCTGGCTTTTGCCAGCTAGTTGTGTTTTCTGTTTGTTCATGTCATGTGATTTTGTGGTTGTCTGTGTGATTTTGTGGTTGTTTGCAATTGTGAAGCGACCTTGGGTTTCTTGAAAGGCGCTATATAAAATTGATTTATTATTATTATTTTATTATTATGGCAGCAGACATAGATGCACCAATGTCCCTTGTAAGCTGAGAATGGGTGACAAGAGCAGCATCAATCAGGCTCATGGTGTCCTGGTCATCAGGATTGGCAGTCCTCCTAAGAGCTGCCAATAAAATAGCGAGAGCATTTCCCGAGTGGGCTGCTCGTGTGGCTGCATTATATGACCGACAGCAGTCGGTCAGTCTTGTCGCACTCTTTTACTGGACAGCATGGATTCGCAGTCACACGCTCTGGACCCAGAGATGTCAATCCACCATTTCCCGCTCTACAGGAGGCATATCCCCTTAACCAGTCTCCTGAGCAAACTGGGGCACCCCGCTGGGGGCATTCCATGCCTTCCTGAGCATCTGCAAATAGTCCCCCGCCACAGGCACAGAGACAAATCCCTGGGAGTGCTGGGACTGAGAAATGCCTGCCCAAACCCTGTCAACAGTGAGTTAATGGGGAAACACAAATGCAGCTCAAAAAGCAACAAATGAATGAACAGCTCTGTAACTGCGGTAAAAACTAATTTTTTTAAACTTAATTCCTGGCTTGAAAACACCGCAAGACAACAGCGCTTACCCAAAAATGCAGCTAGAGTAATTAGTTACCACCAGGTGCAATCCTTAGGGACACAAGGCACCTGCACAAAATTGATGGATTGTTAAAAGTGGAGTCCCAAACACACTTACCTGCAGGTCTCGGATGAGGTGAGGGAAGCAAAGAGGAGGAGGCATGCTCACCGGGGTGCTTTTATGGGCGAGCCAAGCCTCCTAAGGTCAATCACATGACATTGTTGATATATAGGTCTCGAGGATAGGGAGATGATGGCATCATTCAAGGTAAAGACAGTCTGGTGATGGTCTGAGTGAGGTTGAAATAAATCTGCATTCTGTCTATGTTATGAGGTGGCTTAGTAATGCAATAGTAACGCACAGTCATGTGGATAAATAATTTAAATCTGATTACTGGTTTGGAGATATTAACGTGTTAGATTACTCGTTACTGAAAAAAGTAATCAGATTAGAGTAACGGCATCACTGGTTACAAGTAAAAGTCAAGTATTTAAAACTGTGTAAGTACCTGCATCAGAATGTACATCAAGTACCAAAAGTACTAATTTTGCAGAATAATATCAATTATATATATTATTATAATTACTGATGCATTAATGTGTTCATCTCTTTAATAAAGGTGGAGCTCGTTTTAATGACTTCATAGACTGCTTGGTAGCTTGTATTGTTAAAAATACTGAAATAAATGCTACTGTACTGTGTGCAGGGTGAAGATCCCTGATTAAAATGAGCATTACCTTCTGATTAAAAGGCCATTTGAGGAGTGCGTCACTGTGTCCTCTCATCACCACAAAGAACAGAGACAGGTGGGTGCCACGGCCTGTCCCGTCACCATTCAGATAGATTCGCAGGCACATCTTGTAGCCGTACTTACTGGTATAAAAAGCTGGAAAACATAATGCACCACAAAGTGTGATGATGCCTTTTATTCACTGCAAGAAGTGGAAATCCTTAATCAGACAGATGCCTCATCATTGTCTGGATTATAACTCATATGGGTGTCATCATATGAAGCTGTTACCAGGAGAGAACATCGCAGGGGCTCGGCCGGCTACAGCATCCTGCCTCTTCTTGGTGAAATCTGAGATCTTCCAGACAAAGATGCCGTCATATGTGGCTGCAGACATCTCCCTCATTTTACCCTCCATCTCCACAATAGACAGGTCCCTCAGACTCACCGTCCTCTCAAGCTGACGAACCTGCAGCACAGTTACACATGAATAAGACTGTGCATGATTTTCCTAAAAAACATTGGGGCACATTCACAAACAGTGCGTATGCACAAATCTGTACTTGCGTACAACCATTTTAGTAGAAATCCTGTATCATTTTCTAACCAGAATTTTTGCGTACTCTGCTACCAAATGTACTGTAAATGTACAAACTGCCTCAGTCCATGTGCACAAAGGATGAAGGCTCGGCTGTTTTAGAAAATGTAAACACACACCTTTTAACTACATGCAGAGCATATTAAAATGGCATTTTTTACAAAAGGCTTTAATAGACAACAATATTTAAAACCATTAATTTACTAATGCAGGCACTTTCATCCTCAGCCTTTCAACCTCATCAGTTATTCCCATAATTTAAATATCCCTCTCTAAAAACAGAGTCTCCCAGTCCTAGTCGTATGTGAATGTCTATATTGACATGTTACAGTTTTGGTTTTCATTGTTTTTATTGAATCTGCCTGTCGGCTAATGATGTCTACTCCCACCAATTTTTAGAGCCATGAAATTATTATTAGGTCTGTTGTTGTTATCATCATCATCATCATCATTATTAATATTATTATTATTATTATTGTTATCAACAAAGTATATAAAAAATTGTGATCTACCTCCAAGCAGCTGTTAAGATGCCATATCTAATCTTGCTAGAAGATATTGTGCCTTTAGGAGAGAGTGCAGCAGAGACCAACATGTTTGAAGAGAGTGACGAACGTCTTATCAGCTGTTTCTGACTGCCAAGACATGTACAGACACTTGCTGATGGTCCAACACTGGTGTGTCAGGGCCTAATATGTGCATAGAAACAACTCTCTCCATGAAACACCTCTGGGCAAACTGATTTCCTTATATCCACCTTATTTTCAAACACGGAAGTTTTTTTTTGTGCGTGACTTCCGGTCAGCCGCTTTCCCTCTTGCTTTATCTTACCGGAGCTAACGGTGCAAGCTAATTTTTTTCAGTTTTCAGTTGTTTATGTTAGGCAATCAGTTAGTTAGTTAGTTAGTCTGTGTATTTTATATAGATAACTGTGCCCACGTTTCCGTTATAACGGAAATTTATTCCCTCTAAACGCGAATAAATCGCACGTCAATCAAAAACTATGAACCAAAAAAGCACAATCTATCCCAAGTGAGACAAACTGCTTGATCCCCATCTCCAGTGTACCAGCAGAGAACCTGCAGAACCGAATCAGCGAAAAAACACACACAGGCTACACAGCCTCTCTACCTGAGCAGGTGAAGCTGCAGCTCGCACCCTCGACACACAGACACACAGACGGTGCTTCTGCATGCCGGCCAAACGTGTGCGCAACTGTGAGAAATAAATATGTGAGGTGTATGCTGCTTTTCTATCTTTTTTTTCCTCTTCTTTCTTTCTTTCTTTCTGTCAGCGACATACACTCATAACACAGGACGGGTTGTTTTTATTGACTGAGTTGATTATTAAGCCATAGTGATGTGCGGATCGGCTCTGATAGCACCTGAATCAGCATGTACGCATCAACCATCCAGCTGTTACAATATGATTGAGCTAGCACAGCAGTTTTGTGTTGCTATGTGTGGTATTTATTCAGTTTTGGGAAATCAGGATATCTAGAAAGCATCAGTGGCTGCAGCTGACAGGGACAGCTAACGTTAACACTAGCAGCAAAGCTAACATCAGGATCGTCATCCGTTAAAAGCCTCCCGTTGTCGGATACGACATGAAACTACTCCAGTTAGCTCAATCATGTTGTAACTAAGACATCCGCTGGAGAAAATATTTTTTTCACGGGCCACTTTGTGAGTTTAGTGAGTTATTACAGACACGGCTAACGGCTAACAGCTAACGGTTAGCCCAGCTAATCTACGATAACCATGTTATTAATTACACACAGAGAAAATACTAATGTTTGTTCAGTCATTGTGTTTATAGACTTTACAAACATCAGATTAGTCTAAACGGTGATATAGTGACGTGAAAAATGTGAGATATACATATATATATATATATATATATATATATGTATAGCTAAACTCAACAAGGTAAACAAGGTGATTCCCATTTACACAGTGGTCAAGAGTGCTGGACCGGAAGTGTCGCACAAAAAACTGGAAGCTGGCTGCGTTCTGTTTTGCCTCCGTGTTTCCGTGAAAAATAAGGTGAATAGAGAAATGGGGGCGTGACAGCATGCCAACTGACCCTTTGCTAAGCCCCGCCCCTTTGTAATGGTCCAACAAGCTGTCGGAGTAAGCATGGAGCCCACACTGTAAGTAACTGCACTCCCTGAAGAAATATTATCATATTTTTGAAAAACTGAAACAGTGATTCCAGAGAGAAGCAGACAGAGGGGTCTACAGTCTGTGTTTGAAGGATATATCCAGGATGTCAAACTGACTCAGCAGCAACAACAGGTTAAAAAGACAAAGACAGTTAGAAGCTAAAGCTGAACTATAGGCTACAGATCACAGCGTAAAAGTGAACCACCACATCACTGCTGATCGCTACAGAAGACGAAAAATATAAAGGGAAACTTTGCCGATATTGAACCAGCTGTGTGGCATCACAGTTTGAACAGATGAGTGTTTGGCTTTGCCCCCGTGCCGCTGCCAGCACCCGGACCTCCGCCGCTGGACAAGCAGGGATCTCCGGGGGAAGTCAAACAACATTCATCTGCGCACAATGCGATGACACACAGCTGGTTGAATATCAGCAAAGTTTCCCCACTTCCCTTCACTGGTTCTTGTACAGTAGGGTCAGTCTTTTTTCCCTGTTATAATCATTAACAAGCAAAAGCAGCATGAGTATGCATTCAGTAGGCTATATCTTCATGAGCTAGCTTGCTAACCACTGGTGTAATTTTTAGTGGGGACGGTGGGGTCGTGTCCACACCAATACCCAGCGAGCGCTGAAATGTCCCCACCAATAATTTGGTACACAAACAGTTAACCACTAGTTGTGCCTCATATACCGCTACAATGCTTGTGACAGGATTCCCAATCCAATCCAAGCAAGTTTAGCTCAAAGCCCCGCCCTTGAATGAAAAACTACGTTTTCATTGACTGAGATGTCCTCCACTTTGGGAGCTCGAGCTCTGTGCAGTGTGCACTTCTTGTCAGAGGCAGGCAGAGCTGAGCTGCTACAGAAGTTAGCATAAGTTATCAATCTTCGCTAATTACATCACTATACTAAATTTTATATTATATATATTCATCAAACCTACTACTTATCCTATTTCTATATATTAATAAAATCCTATCATCACCTCAGATATACTCAGAACATTTTAATTATGCTCGTCATTAATTAGCCGCCAGTTTAGCTAGTGCTAGCTAGTTTATTTTGCTCAATGTAGCCTTCCAGCCATCAGTAGCCCACTTGATCCAACGTCAAGAGGTGGACGTCATTGGATCCCTCTTTCCCTGCATAATCTAGCTAGCTAACTGCTATTGTCGTTATAAGAACAGAGTTGGACTCGGGCTACAAAGTTTCCTCCATTTTGTTGTTATGGAAGTAGCCTAGCCAGCCTAGTAGCTAACTAGTATTGCCTGTGTGCATGTTTCATCCAGATGGCAGCCAAAATAGCAGCCATAAGAAGAAAGGTGGACATAAGGAGCTATTTCAGAAGAGTAAGTCGGCTTTAAAGAAAATGTTTTCTCATTTGATAGAATCAACAATAATCATAGGCTAATAATAATAGCCTACTTAACTAAGCTATTGCCTGGCTACATGTTTTTCCTCACTGTTAATATGCCATGTATCAACATGCAGGTGACAGAAGCAGTGCCAGGCACTAGTGCAGGCAGAGGAGAGGGAAGTGGAGCGGCAGGGACAGGGTCACAGTTGAGCTAGAATGACTTGGTGATATGTTAGTTAGGCTAGATATAGTACTCTATTGTGACAAATGTTAGGCTGATGATTTATTGTATAACAATGGTTCATCAATGTTGATGTGTGTTTGAATTGAGAGCTTTGAACAGGCAAAGTCTCACTGCTCATATGACATGGATCCATGTGCAGGTGACAGAAGCAGTGGTGCCAGGCACTAGCGCAGGCAGAGGAGAGGAAGGTGGAGAGGCAGGGACAGGGACACAGGTGAGCTAGAATAATAATGACTTGGTGATAGTAGTTAGTATTTAGATTTAGTATTGTGACAAATGTTGATCTGATGATCTGGTTGGTTCATCACTGTCTGTTTGAAATGGGAATTTTGAATAGGCACGTTTCACTGGTCACATGCCATGCATCAATGTGTTATTTTATCAGTCAGCAGTCTCAGAAGCAGTCCTGACAGGTACTACCACAAACAGAGCAGGAGAGGAAGAGTCACAGGTGAGGCCCAGGCTTATAAGTTACAAGTAAATGTAGATATTACTATACTAGTATATAAACAAGTGGTAACTAGCATCATCAATGTGTAGATCTACATCTATGTAATTCTAAATACATATTTTTCCACATGTAGTTACAGTAGTGGATAGAGTGGTTGACACTGTTCACTGACATCACTCTCACTGCTACTCTCTGTTGCTGTCTTCTCCATCTGGAGCAGTTTCTTTTGATAAACACAACAGTAAAGGCTACAATTAGCCACTCTATCAACTAACTACATGTGTAAATACATAGATGTATTTAGATAGAATTACATAGATCTACACACTGATGATGCTAGTCACCACTTGTTTATATACTAGTATAGTAATATCTACATTTACTTGTAACTTAAAAGCCTGGGCCTCACCTGTGACTCTTCCTCTCCTGCCCTGTTTGTGCCAATATCTGGCAGAACTGCTTCTGAGACTGTTGACAGATAAAATAACACATTGATGCATGCCATGTGACCAGCGAAATGTGCCTATTCAAAGAACCCGTCATTAAGATAATCTGATCTGACTGTACAGCTTAAAACTGTATTTATGCGTTATTTTATTTTAGAAACACACAAGGCACAACATTTAATCCCAAATCCACAAAACCAGCCTGAAAAT